TTCATGTATTTAATAAAGTCTTGGACTTCAGGCTTGTTTTTGACGGTTTCAACAAGAGCGGCCCATTCGTCTCCTTGGAGGTAGATGATAACAGCAGCGAAAGCACCATCTTCTTGCAAATGTTTATCAGCAATGGCTTTAATATCATCAACGGGTAGTAGTTTGATGAAATCTTCGAAATCGTCGATTAGGCTTCTGGGAGCTTCCAAACTTTGAGGTTTGGGGGCCCCAAAGCTGAGACCAATGATCGCCAAGAATACGAAAATGCCCTTCATCTAAAGAAAAAAAGATGTAACTTTTCCTTTTGGTTATTATTTTTTGTCTTACCTTTATTTTCGACTATTGGGACGAAACTGAATTATCAGTGCTCTCATTAGACTTTTATACTAAATTTCTACTGCAAGAACTTATCGATAAATGATAACACATCGCCCTTTGTACTCATTTTTTATTATCTTTAAATAATAAAATATTAAATCTGCATTTTTTTCAAGTTTTGAATTAAGCAATCTCAAGTAGTAGTTGAAGATGCAGTGATCTCGAAAAAAACACTCGAATTATGTGCATCTAGAGGTTTCTAACCAGTGATAAACACATAAATACACATTTCTGTTAAACTAATCTACTTAATTTGTTTATTTTGTAAAACATTTTTAAAAGTCTTCATGAAATTTATTTAATGTGACAAAAATGTTGATTCATATTTTAACACCTGTAGTGAATGAATCACAGTCCGCTGTTAGTTTATTAATTTATTTCTAAAATCTACCTATCTAAAGATGAGTGTTTACAATAAATCGGCTTTAGCCACACAAGATTTTTCGAATAAAACTAGATTCGAGATAATCTTTCAAGTTCACAGTCAAAAACCCCAAAATTTTATTGGATTTATATTGAAGTACCACTAGTGTGGTACTTTCGGGACGACCAACGCTGTGCTACTTTTGTGCTGGTGTGGTACCAGTTAATCGCAATCGATGCAATGCGTGATTGGTGTCGAAGTACCGTTGGAATGCTGCGGGCGATTGGTGGTACTTTCAAAGGTAGCAACTCTAGTGAAATCAAATCTTTTGAATTTTCCCACAATTTTGGTTCTTGAAGAAACTACCAAATTGATTAATATGTAGGGTGGTACCCGTACTCATATTTTTCAGGCGATTTGTCCGTCTCGCTCGCGCGCATTGGTCACTCCCGTGACATACTCTAGGCCTGGTTTTGTGAATGTCTACCAGCGGACCAGTGGCAGTACCATGACGGTGGTACCGCGCGACGTGACGTGCCCATAACAGTGCAAGAATGTGACACGAATATTGGATGGCATTTGCCGGTGAGTTTGATAACAACAAACCTCTCGTTCTTATCAAATTATGAAATCGTGTGATATTATTGTTTTACATACTTAGAAAACACTTGTAGGATTTTTGACAAAATTTATTGTTGGCCAAAAATAGCCCAGGGAGATTTGGGTTAGTCACAAATTGGGAGATTATAGTGATTGTAATGATGTGAGTTTTGCACAAATCAAGGTCTGTTTTAATTATTGCTGGAATTGAGGCAAAAATGCTCTTCACAGAGGTTGATTTTGCAAAGGCGGGTTTAAAAATTGATCAATTATGTTTAACCTTACAGTGAATGAACTTGGTGGCTAATGGACCGAAAGGAATTGATTAGACAACCTGACGAAATTAAACACTTCTTAATTTAAACTTTCACTAAAGATCTTGTATTCTTAAAACCAATACAAAACACATTTGAGATCTGTTGTAAAGAAAAGTGGAGTACGATACTGGAAAATTAATTGAATAATTTTATAAAATCCACATCTGGAAATTTTGTGACAAGACAAAAATTATGTCTTCCCTTGATTATTACTGGTCAATCCTGTATTGACCTAAAAATAAGGGATGAACCCGGCCTCAAATTACATCATCTTTCTAATCTAACAAAGTATAAGAAATTAAATGAAACATGTTTTTTTCGGATGACCATTTTAATGTCGCTCACTTTATTTGATATGATTCTGAAGACTTGAACTGGTTTGATTTCAACAAGAAATTTGATAAACTTATTTTATGCTGAATTATTTCAAAGAAAACGTCTCATTTTTATTTCGACATGCTCTAACAGTTTTCACCCGCAAGAAAGACTACTGTTTTCTGTGGTCAACATTTTTTCCAGAATAAATTATCTAAATACTTTTCTACTTACAGTAGATGTGTCAAGTTACGATAGATGATCTCAAACTTTTTATCTTTACCAAGTCAAAGTCTATTAAAAGTATTTGTAATGAATCCCAATGGAAAAATTTGTTTGTTTTTAAATTTTGGTTTTGAAAAATTGGTGATTAAGAAATTGATATTGAATTAACAGCAAAAATCAATATTTAACTCAAGTATCTTAATATTCCAATCTGATCAATTTATCTTAACATCTTAACAAACTGCAGGTCATGGAATTACGACCGGGCTTATCGTGTCTTCAAGGGCGCTCCGTTGTCCTGCCTGGGGGACATGACAAGGAAGGGCGCCCCATTTGCCTTGTGAATATTCCGGCTGAAAGCCCGCCCCTGAACATCGTCTCTTCCCTTCAGTATCTCCTTTCAGTTTTCAGGTAAATATTTCGAAAATATTTCGCAACTGTTGTTTTATTCATGCTTCGAGCTATCGAGAGAGTAACGAACTTGAGACGGCACTGGAAGAACAGGTACCAATACCAAATCAATTAATTTAAGCTTATTGATGATTTTATTGATGCTTTTCGAGTTTTAAAAGGAAATGACATATTTTTGCAATTGTGTTTGCTTTCTGATAAATGCAATGGAAAGATGGTAAAAACACTACAAGTGGGTTTTTGAGATAAAGATGAAGGATTTAATGTGGAAATAAGTGTGACGAATTTCGGTGCTTTTATTTATTTTGAGAGATTTGTTGTTTACGAAAATTTTCTAGAAATTTTTGTTACTATAGACAAAATAGTAGACAAAATAATACAAAATACTTCTTTTTTTTAATCATCGGGATACAATAATATCGATCTAACGATTCTTGGCCTTTGAATAAGCTTAAACAGTAATCATTTAATGACAACATTCTGTTTAATATTTCATTAATAATGTTTTTACATATAATTGTGCATGAAACCAATTAGCGTATTGCTTGTTATGTCTTTCTACCGGTATTAACAAGAATAAAACGCAACAGTAAAAGCATTATTATTTGAAAAAGAAGAAATGCAAGCTCAATGCAATATTATTAAAAATTACTATAAAATAAAAAAAGTAAAATACCATACACATTAGAGAATAACATAATAATTGGATGAAAAACCTAGTATCTTTTAGGTTACGCAAGAAGATCTAAATCTCATGGTTTAAAAATATTTTATGTCCAAACATAGTAAATAAGGATTAAAAGATGTTATCAATCTTATATCATGTATTTAGAGCTTCAATAAGTGATAACTCGTATTCATTATATTCTAAGATAATTCAAATAGAAAAATACCAAATGTCTTCGAATCTCAGCTTTTATGATTCTAGCGGAAGTAATTTATAACAAGAACAAATTAACGAAACCATATTCTTATAAAGTTCTCACACGTGTGGTTTATCAGTTAATGAAATTAACATGTAGTACTTAAATTCTAACAATAAAAAATGCATTTAGAAACAACTAAAAGTTAACCAAACAACAAAAAATTAACCCTTCTATTCTATACAAATTCCTACTTCTTTTCAATTTTTTATTGCTTTTTAATGAATAATATGCACGTATGTATTAGACTTTTTATTAGTTTTTCAAAAATATTAGCATATTTCTACGATGAATTTTTAAGT